AGGCATTTCATGCTACGACCGACTTATGCTTTAAGTATCAAATGGTTTCGGGGGACTTCAATCTTCCTGAAGTCCACTGGTTTCCGCCTTCCGGTCCCAGAAGTTTCCAAGAATTACTTGAGGCTGCGGATGCAAAGATGTGGAGTCAGGTTGTCAAATTTCCCACCCGAATATAAAGCATACTTTACCCTCTGAAAAGGTCAGTTTCACCCTTAGACCCAATCGGGAGATCAGACCATGAGGAAGTTGTTTCAACGTTAGAACTAGAGGCTAACAAAATTTTGTCCTCAAATTATAGCACTTTCCTCGATTTCCGATCAGCTCAGTCGACCGAGTTATTAACAAACCTTAATTCCTACGACTGGACTGATTCTTCCTTAATTCGGATGTAACTGTTTGCACTGCTAAACTGTACGGAATTTTGGATTCGCTTATTTCTCGTTTTGTTCCCCTTAAGAAAATAACTAATGCAGGGGATGGGGTTTTCCCACCCTTATCCCTTCGCCGTAGATTACGCAAACTTCCTCGTCGATTCCATCTTCAGAACGACGTTTCCGTTCTGGCCTCCATTTGCGATATTTTTGAACAGGTGAAGAGATTGTCCAAAAAAGAACAACTAGCCAAAGAGGTCCACCTTGCCGAAAACCGCCCATCAAATGCCGCGAAACCCTTCTCTGGAAGAGTACGGAGTCATGGAAAAACGCAGAATTCCGTCCACGGGACACTCTTGGAAATCCTGCAGCAGACGCCAAGTTGACCGCTGATAGTTTCAATACATTCCTAGCCAAAGCGTTTATTAAAAATTAGACTGCTCCGCTTCCGACAATCCAAGCATTCACCGGGACAGTCCAATGATTCGAAGGACATCCTAGAGTTTGTGACGCGTAGATATCTCAAGCCTGATTATTCTGATTCCCTTGTTCCTCATTTTCTTCACAACAGACTGAAAACGCTTAGACGGCAGCTGCGTGGCCTATCTACCATTTCCTTATCAGTTAATCTTAGAATCACAGAGATATTTGAGACGGCCTCAAGGGTGCACCAAGCGCGCGACAGGCAAAGATAATCACTTGCCCTCAGTGATCCGAACCCTGGCAACTGCGTCGCTAACATCTTCCGTCATCGGTCCTCCTCTAAGCGTGGTCACGAACTTCCACTCATGCTAAACGATAACGAAATCTTCCTCATTGATGACACTGACAGAGCGGAGTTGTTTAGTGTCTTCTTTGCAAAACACCTTAATAATGAGTCCGAAACAGTCGCTTTCTTTCGTTCACTTTCAGATAGGACACTGAGTATAATCGATTTCCCCTCAGATGTCATTAAGAAACACATAAGTCGTTTAAAATACTCACACTACTCAGGAACGGACGGGATTCCAAATTCGATTATTAAACAAGCACCCGACCTTCCCATGTATCTTAGTCACTTATTCTCGGTTTATATTTCAAAAGGATTCGTTCCTGAAACATGGAAAACGTCAATTATCATTCCCGTCTTCAAGTATGGATTTCGGTCCGGTGTTGATAACTATCGGGGCGTGCACAAAACGCCGCCTCTAGCGAAGCTTCTTGGAAGGATTATTTTCAATGAAATTCTTGACTTCTGTCTTGCTAATCGGCTTCTGAGGTCTAGTCAGCATGGAGTTTTACCTGAAAGATCCTGCAAAACCTGCCATCCGGCATTTCTTTATCTAATCATTTGTCTTCGTAATGAGCGGCAGTCAGTGGTAGTTATCTACTTTGATCTTAGCAAAACCTTTGACAAGATGGCCCATAGATGTCTTTTAGTAAAATTGGAAGCTCTCGGCATTCGACCGCCTTTACGTGACTTCATCAGGTCCTATCTGTCAAACCGATATCAGAAATTCATGGTCGGTAATATCTACTGGACACCTCAAATCACGAGTGGCGTACTTCACGGCACGGTTCTGGGTCCGCTACTCTTTCTTCTGTACATCAATGATATTTCGACTGAACTCGGAAATTCGCAAACTTTTACTTATGCCGATGACCTCAAGTGTGTTTACTAATATTCTAAGGACATCGCAAATGTTTGTGTTGAAAAAAATTAATGCCGATTTACTACGCTTAAGCAGATGGGGTTCAACATGGCAGATGGAGTTTTCATCACCCAAGTGTAGTTTCATGTCTTTTGATCCTACCAAACTTCCTAGTGGCATAATTTTTCAGAATAACCCACTCTCAGAATGCCTCACCATAAAGGACCTAGGTCTAAGTTATACAAATAAGCTTGCTTTATCACCTCATGCATATAGAATCTCTGCCAAAGCCGTGCAGGTATGTGGGTTCATATTGCATAATTTTTTTCCTTCCGGAAATGAATCTAAGACTTTATCAAATGTTTTGCCTTCCACTCCTCGAATACTGCTGTCCTTTCTTTTGTTTAATGAACGCCTGCGACCGTAATAAAATCCAAAATGTTCAGAGGGTTTTCACTCGGAAACTGTTCTCTCAAGCTTCGTCTGGTATTTCTTATACTCAGAGATGTCAGCTGGCGAACATTAAGTGTTTGTGGGTTAGAAGACTTGAAGCTGGCCTCTGCATCCTTTGTCGCATGAAGTCTAGCTCCAATCTTCCGCTCATTGACACTCTCATTCCGAAAGATCGGTCTACGTCAAGAGAGGAATCATCGTGTCAGAAAACAAAACCGGTTGCTCCCGCGACTATGAAGCACTGTGGTTAAAACTGATGATGCGTGGCGCTCCTAATCTGAATTTCCTGACTGTATATAGGCCACCCAATCAAACTGCTGAGCTTGACGGGGCTATGTTTGGGTTAATTAAAGAGATGTCACAAAACCAAGAGGTACTGATTACCGGAGACTTCAACGCACCCACGGTCGACTGGAACAATTTATCAGTAAATGGTTCACGAAATTAATTTGATTTCAGGTTCTTGAAGGTAACGGCTAATCTCTTTCTGGTACAAAATTTCACGTTCCCAACCAGGATCAGCGGGGACCAGAGAGCAAATTATCTGGAACACGTCCTTACAAAAGAGCCAATTAGCCCTGGCGAACTTAGCTTCATAACACCGCTCGGTATGAGTAACCATGCCATGCTGTTTTGGGAATACAGCCTTTGCAGCCAACAAGTGAATATGACTGAGCCTTGGTTGTATTTCTAGCGAGGAGATTTTGCCGCCATGAGAAGGGAATTATCGGCAGTGGACTGGAGTGATGTTCCTTCCGGACATCCAGACGTTGATTGGAACACTCTCAAAGGAGTTGAACAGACATCATGCATCGAAAGTGTCCGACAAAGAGGGTCAAAAAGAATAATCGTCCTGCCTGGATGAAGCGGGTTATAAAGAAAGAAGTAAACTGAAAGAACAAACTATGGAGAAGATATGCAACAACAAAACAAACATCTCATTATGAGCAGTTTCATCGAAGGCGAAACGAGGTAAGGTCGGCTATCCGCAGGTTGCTGAAGGAGTATGAAACGCGAATCACGGAGCGGAAAGTCGATAAGCCAAAATTGCTCTTCGCTTACATCAACAGTAGGTTAAAGCTTTATCACGTCATGCAGATAGAATCTCTGCCAAAGCCGCGCAGATATGTGGATTCATATCGCATAATTTTTTTTCCTTCCGGAAATGAAGCAAAGATTTTATCAAATGTTTGTTCTTCCAGTTCTCGAATACTGCTGTCCTTTCTTTGGTTTAATGAACGCCTGCGACCGTAATAAACTCGAAAATGTCTCGCTGGTCTCGCATCCGCACGAGAACATAGTTTAGGAGGTGCCACTGACGCGACCGAGGGCGCATCCAGGTGGCCTTCTTTCATATCGGCAGGCAGAAGGAGGCGTTCGTCAGGACGAGGCGGTGTTCTGCGCAGGTGCGGAGCAGGAGCAGGCCATTATTGAGCCGCGGAGACCATGGGGACCAAGCACTCCTCTCCAGGCTGTATGGTCTGAGTCGACGCGAGCTTTTACGTCACCATGGGCTATCAACTTGTCCGCCTTTGGCACAGACGTCAGGAAGACATGGCGTTCCTCGTAGAATTTGTCTCTGGTGGCGTCAGGCCTGGTCATCGTCGGAGCATGGGTGCTGATGACAGTGGCGAATTTGCCTTCCCTGAGGGGCAGACTGAGGCTAATCAGGCGACCGTTGATGCCCTGCGACAAACATGGCAGTCGTCCCACGATGTCGTTTCGAATGGCGAAGGCGACGCCCGCGTGTCATGGCTCTGCCCTGAGGCGACCGCTCCAGAAGAAGTTGTAGCCGGCACCCAACTCTTCCAGTTGACCTTGTTCGGAGAACGGGATCTCACTGAGCGCGGCGATATCAACCTTGTAGTGTGCCATTTACCGGGCCACTAGCGTCGCCCCCGGTTCCGGTCTGTTGCTCCTTGGATTGTCTAAAAAGGAGCAAACTTTCCAAACTGTCAGAGTGAGCGGACTCACCCCACCAGTCTGGCAGTTGGGACGGCGGGGAGGAGGAGAAGAATAATAGGCCGGAAGAAGAAGAAGAGGGTGAGTACTGTTGTTGTTGTTGTTGTTTCGACTCTGAGTTTAACGTCTGCGACTACAGACAGCCTGCGGACGACGTGATTCCCCAATACTCTTTAGGGTACACTCTCTACCCCCTCCCCTTGCGGGCAAGCAGTGCTTCCCTAAATAGGGCTGCTCCGTAGTGCCAGGCGCTGCCGCACTCCATTATGGTCCACAACTTTGGTGTTGTTGAAGAACGGCCCGAATTAGCCGGAAGAGCTTACGACACCGCCGTAAGCTCGCATCTTTCCGCGGTGCACCAGACGCAGCCGCATCTGGACGATGGCGATGCGAAGTTCCATCCGATAAGCCGACCAGCGGCATACCAGACGGAGCCCCTTCTCGACGGTGACGATGCGAAATTCCATCCGACCGGAAAAACAGTGACGTATCAGACGGAACCTCATTTCGACGGTGTCTATGAGGAGTTGCATCTGACCAACCGCCCAGCGGAATCACAATACTGCGCGCACACAGCGCACACGAATACCCTCACCCGGTTTAGCACGTCGGTCGAGGCGGTTACCGGGGTGTGGCAGCCGGTCAGAGCCCAGCTTCGAGGAGCCACATGTGAGAATTTGGTGTCGGCAAGTGGACGCTAGGCATAGTTTGCATCGGCAGGCAAGTGAGCGACTTACTACGACCATCACGTGAAACCACCGCTTGACACCCCTACACCCCGCTTCCAGGTATACCTTACTCTGGAATAACCTTTCAATAGGTATGAGATCATCAGATAATTTACGGACCTCAAAGAGAAGACTGCGACTTTATATGAATACCGACTTGGTCAAACTTTGATTTTCTCCATCATTCCCGGCAAACTCTCTCCACGACGTTGAGAAAGGGCCGTCGGGAATTCAGGATGCCGTCACCAAATTACCACATCTACTCACATTCTACCGCTTTTAACCAAGAGGCAGTTCAAAGATGCCCATCGAAAGTCTCCTCACATAGATCGAACTGAACTTGGGGTTTAGGTTTGGCGATGTGATTATCAAACTAAAAAGGGAATGTGAAGGCCAAATCTGAACACTTGATCTACGTAGATAATCGCATTTAGTGCCAGCTTACGGACACTCAAAGAAAGATTAAGCACAGATTAGCCTAGCAGTGAAAAAAATCCCGAGGAGTAAATACAGCGGATGGTGTTTGTGGACAGCTTGGATGGTTCAGTAGAAAAAAACTGCCGTCCGTAAAACAACGTTACACCAGAAAGTGATGTTTAATGTCGCATCGATTATTTTCAGTCTACATTTCTTTTCATGAAATAGAGACTGGGCCAAACAGAAGCCTTGAATAACAGTTGCTCGCTGTCGGATGAAGAAAGTGCCCTAGTGTTGCGGACTGAAGAGTCAGCACCACTTCTCACGGGATGAGACCGGGCAGGGGGATCAGAGACCACGAACTCAATCACTATGATAGATTAATTCGGTGGATTCAGGACCTGAAAGTTGCGGAATTTTTTTTTGAATGTTGATGCAAAACAAACGCTTGTTTTTCTGCAGCTCTTCGCATACTCAAATACGAGTACTTGCAGATTAAACTGTATGGGGAATAATGAAAACTAAAGGTGAGTATGCATAGGAACATACATACTCCTCACCTAGATCGCCGACCTACACATTGTTACTATTCTTTCCTCCACCAAGCTAGTTCTATTCAAAGAGTCCATGCGAACGCCGCGGAAATTGGATGAAACCCAAACACCGAAAATTCTATTTTACTGCATACCTCAGTTTTTGCTTCCTTGTGCTCGTCTTTTCTGTGTGAGCCGCTTAATGACTCCGCTGGCATACGCCACAGTTCTAAAGACCGAGTCAAAATAGAAAAGAGAGGGGCAAAATTTAGTCTGATAGGTCGTTCGTCCTTTATGTCAAACATAACCGATTAACGATGCAGCTAATTTTTTGCAGCACAGATGTCGTGGGCACGCTCCTCCCACATATCCACATGTAGAAACAGTCATACCAGAGAACCACCTCCCGTTCTTGTTTTCAGGGACTGCAATGGGCTGGGATGGACTGGACCACCTGCTGAAACACCACCTGTCAAGCCCGGCTTTAAGCCGGCCTATCTCCATCCAAATGGTTTGATCGACGCCTAGGAACTCAAGAAGTGACCAGTGCATCTCAGTCCCCCGGAAAAAATTACCATTGAAGAGGCTGCTCGTGCTATTGTTTCCATCATTCGGTCTGCAAAGGAGCATGCCCATGCTATGTGCGCTTTAAAAAAATGCAGTACTTTTATTCAGTCGTGATAAAAAATAAAAAAATGAAAGACCTCATGGTATGAAACAAGGCCGTGTGCGTCCCATTTTGACTCACTTCGAGAGACAGGTGCATATTTTAACAAGGCGTCCTCCACTTCTTCATTTCCTGCTCTCAGTCATTGACTTTATTCATGAGTAAAAAATATACCGTATCTCTGACATCGTTGTTACTATGATGAATGTTTCGTTCGGCTTACTGCCCTCCATCCCCACCCAGATTGCTTTTAATCGCTTCACCGGTGTACAATCACGATGATCCCCGTAGAAATGGAACAGGTTACTTGAAGATCTTTGATTGCCTCTTTATTTTCCACATTTCCAATAAGTGACCGAGGGATTCCCAAGTAATTGCAAACCTTCCGATAATTCTTACACCGGAACAATTCTGAAGGTCGTTCTTAGTCTGTGGCAGCTCACCTTGGACGAACCGCGAATCCGGCCGGTGGTGTGTTGGTTGTGCATGCCGTGGTTTTGCGGCCGTGCACATATCAGTCCTCATCGCGTGCGAACTCACGGTCACATTTCATATCGTTCCTGACGTCCATATTTTGCCAACTCGTGTAGACACAACAGGCCTTAACGGAATATATAGTGTTTTCCGTTGTGTTCGGATCGTCCTTCACCACCCTTGTCTTAAAAGCACTCCTATTTAGCTTGAACAGATTCTCGACTTCCAGAGTATCAGTCACCATCTTGCAGACGACTCAGACTCCACAATGAAGTACCTCCTTGTTACTGGTGGCGTTATCAGTGGTATTGGAAAGGGGATTGTTTCCAGCAGCATTGGAGCAATCATGAAAGCAAATGGATGGGTCGTCACATGCATTAAGATAGATCCCTACTTAAACATAGACGCTGGAACATTCTCTCCCTATGAGCACGGCGAAGTATACGTGCTGGACGATGGAAGTGAGGTGGACCTCGACCTCGGAAATTACGAAAGATTTTTGGATGTCACGCTTACAAAAGAACACAATATAACCACGGGAAAAATCTATCAACAGGTTACTCAAAGGGAGCGCAAGGGTGAGTACCTGGGGAAAACCGTCCAGGTGCGTCTTATTTACATGGTATTTTTGAAACCTAAATTTGTTACTAAATATCCGAAGTATTGTCTTGCCGAATCTGGCTGGGTATCAGACACAGGTCAGGCTGTATGCCTGGGTCCTTGTTGTCCGCCCCACGAGGACGACGGGTAAGCGACTGAAAAAGCCATACTTATGTCTGAGGGGACTGGAACCCAGGGAAGACAGGACCTCTCGGTCTTTCTCCGGCGCACCCAGCCTCAGCTCGCAGCCCTAAATTGCCTGGGAACCCTGTGCATGAGTACGCCATTTGTAAGAGCGCCCACCACACTCAGAAAACGGAATTATTATGAGGCCCGGATTAGGGACCGACTGAAGTAGTGTATGGTGTGTTGTAGAAGACTACCTAAACGTCCAAGTAAACAATAATAAACAGTTTCAATAGACCTCGTCGTCTTGTTCTTATACATGTGACGGGCGAAAATAGGGCCAGCACAATAGGCGCAGCGGATGCCTTTTGTTGGCATTTTGCGTTTCAGGGGTTGGGAACCAAAGTTCCGGTTACTGGCTACTAAGCCTTCGGTGGACGTTGGCTGCAAACTATCTAGACATAAGTCGTCCGAAAATATTCCAAGGACTGGCGGCGACTACGCGGAAGGTTTGGATCCGAAAAACCAGCTGCTCTACTAAATGCCGCCGTGACGGCACCGATATGACAATCACAAGTCGCCATTAAATTAAATCTTGATGCACTGCATACGAGTTTAACCCTCACCCATTGGACAGCTCGAATCAAACCCCTTAACCCCCACCAAAGGCAAGCTCCTTCGTCACATATTTCGACTTATGACGTCCTTGGAGACGATCAGTTACATATCCCTTCTAATAGGTCGGATAGTAGATGTGCAATTTCTCTTGTTCGAAAGGAGTAAGTGCGCACCGCACAGTGAAACGTAGAAGCTTCCCGCGCGAGGAACTACGAGCCGTACACTGTCATTGTTAACGCCATGTAATGCGGACGTTGCCTACTTCCGAGGCACGCATGTCAGGCAGTGGTTTGCGCAGTACCAAGGTATCAATCGCCGAGAGATATCTCTGCCATTACAACTGTGGTTGGCGTAATGGTGCAGTAGCCGTGAATAACCAGACCAACGCATTACTTATTCGCTGGGAACTGGTGTCAATAAAGATTAAACTGGCGCGTCTACGTAGCGCTGCTGTCAAAATCGTAGTTGTTACTGTCTACGCGCGATGCCGGACGCTGATTCTGAGCAGAACGAGACCTTTTATGACGAACCTTAGCTGATGTCTTGGGTCTCCATAAATGATGTGCATGATATTAGTCCAAGTCTTATTAACACCGCAAAAAGTGTGGGCCTAAGCTCTCAAATGTTGCTCAAATTTTTATTACCAGTTTCTGACTTAATGTAGCTATACTGGGATTTCTTACTTTAGCGTTGCAATTTTCCACAGGTTGTCCCGCACATTACTGACGCCATACAGGAGTGGGTGATCCGTGTAGCTCAAAAACC